TCTTATCTTTGCTGTTTTCTTTTCCCAACACATATCATAAAATTTCTCAACCCTAAATAAATAAATGAAAAAGAAAAACAGAACTCTAGTCTAAATATCTTGTTTCTATATTAACAGAAAGTTCAGAATTAAGTTATAAAAGAACATTTAATTCACGAATAAGATAACCAAGTAAATTATCATGACCTCCTTATTTTATTTTATTTTATTTTTCTTTGATCAGAAATTACTTAAAATATGCCTTCTAAAAGTTTGAAAACCCATTCCCTCTGTATATGACCTCGAAGTATGCCGGGTAATTAAAAATGATATAACTAAAGCAAGAATGTGTATTCCTCTCGCTCAAATCTGTTCTTTTTGCTACTATCCCCAAGTACAAAAGCAGTAGTCATTTCTTCGATGAAAATGCCGGAACTAATTTATTAGGTTATTTTCTAAGGAAAGATATATCCATTACAAATGAAACTGAAAGAGTCATCATTGACAAATTTTTTAATTTTGTGTTAATAATAGATTAGATCAAAATGACTCATCTTACTTCCAGCGCTTCTTACTCTTAGTGGAGTTTCCGGAAATCAATACATCAATGGAAATCAATACATCAATGTATCAATATATCTTGGGTCGTACTACTTAAACAACCTCTCTGTACTGGTATACATAGGTAAGGTTGCGTACAACTTGATTTTTAGACCCCAACCGAGTTGAAAATATACTGGATATGTTGTTATTTATTAAGAAAAGAATAATTGTTGTATACGACGTCGTTGTATGCATTTTCTTGGACCTATAAATCTTTCCGTTCCAACGGGAACAAAATGCAAAAAAGAAAAGGAGGGAAAAAAAAAAAAAAAAAATTCGCTTTCGATCAGATGTGATACCAAGCGCCAATTGAAAGCAATAGAATGCCAATTGAAAACAATAGAAAAGGATTAACCAGTTTAATGAGGTTGTTTTACAAGATGGGGTTCTCCAAAAAGCACAATTCTCATCATTCTTTGATTAATTGAAACCTTTTTAGTACAGTTACAATTAAGTATCCTAAGCAATATGTTTAATTTTCCCATGCTGATGTTCAGCATATCCTGAGCTATTTAATGTCGAACTAATCCTTATCTATGGAAAAAAGATAAGGGAAAAAAAATTAATAAAGTAATCATGGTAGAAGATTTTGTTTTCAACAAACGAACAGACTTATAAAATCTTAGCCAATCTCCTGCCGATCTTTCTCTTTACCAAATCTTCTATTCTGATTGGAAAAAAAAAAAATTTTGGTGTTTTTTCAATCTTCTATTCTGATTGGAATTTTTTTTTTTTCAATTATAAACAATAAAATCTTGAAGATTTCAACTTCAATTTCTTCAGTTTCTGAGGTCTGACAATTCCATCCGAAATTTGGTATCCATCTTTATCCCGTGAAGTTCAAATTTCATATTAAATTTTTTAATATGTAACTGATGTTTATCCAGAATGTAATTCTTTTAATCGTTCAATGTGATCCATCTCTAGTCCTTACTATGCTTCCTCGGAGATTCAAAAATTAGGTTTCGATCAAATATGATGTGAATTGTTGATTGTTATTTTCAGATTTTTAATCCACCTACGATCCTCTTTATAAAAGATTGATTGAGGATGTAGTTCTTCGACACCCATTGTAGTCAAAATAAAAGAATTATATTCGATTCAAAAGATTTTACTTCCAATTATCCGAATAGCTTAAGAATTCGATTGGATCGAGGAGTTCACCTCAATGAAGGTCAAAAAATTACTGGAAGATCATGTGCTTCAAGTTTGGAAACCAACTTTTGCTAAATTTTGTAATGTTTCGTGCCTTCAAGCTCTCTTAATTGATGAAAAGGTAATGATATATTTGGGCACGGATTTCTTATATATAATTTTAATTTTTGTTCATATTTAATTTTAGAATGATTACTATATTATAGAAGATGAATTGGATTAGGAGATGAATTCATCTAGATGTAGACAAGAATATTATGCATATAGATTGTTGCTATATTTTGCGAATAATCGTTACACAAATGGATTAATACGAAAGCATCACGGTTGATGATTTTATTTTTCATCACAGTGTACAACAAAATTCCAGAAAATTTTGGAATGCTCGGAGTAGGTAATCATATTGTCGAAGAACAATTTGATTTTGTTGAAGAACTCAATCCTATGATGTCAAGGGTTTCTACTTTCTACAAGACCGAAACCTCGGATGAGCATCGGAAATTGCAGGTTTGCCATTCTTTAATCCATTGAATGCCATGTATATTTGATTTGTGTAGATAGTTTTAATGAAATTTTGTTCGTTTGTTATTAAGGTGTGAATTTGTATTTTTTTTTCTAGAGAAAGTATTTGACTATAGTTGTGGAGAAAGTAGCCCGACCTATTAGTCTATCTCTAAAGCATCTTCTTAATTACTTAGAATTAAACCAAGCTCTTGCATACTCATCATGTGAAGAATTTTCTATTGAGAAAGTTTCAAAAAAGAGTGAATCTTCACATATATTTTAGAGTTTGTTATTTTTCAACCTTCTTTTTTGTATCAATATTATTGGGATGAAAATGATAGAATCTTGCGTTATATTTATTTATTTATTTTATTACAGAATATTAACATTTTCTCTCCCAAAAAAAGAAATTGATAATACCGAACGTGAGGAAGGGAAATTGGAGTCCAGAGATTTGTGTTTTGTTCCACTGCAGGGGGAAGAAATGGACTTGTATCAAGTTGTTTTGGTTTCGCTTGCAACTGTAGAAAACTAAAATTACTCGTGCATGAATTCTCTGACTTCAGAATATATATACAATTTCCAATAGGAAGTGGCCTGAAACGCAAACGTTGATGCTGCCGGATTCATAGACCAATTATGATAATTACATCGGGTTTTTTTCTTAGCCAAAATTTCTCTCATAGTGTCTAACTGTCATTGGCACTAAGCAAAGTCTGGTAACTAATATTAATCAAAAAGGTTATTGGTAAAGTGTATGAGTTTTTGAAGGATGAAGAGGACTCGCGAATTTTATCAACTCCACATGATAAACATATCACTTCAAACACTGAAGTGGAATTTGGACCCTCTCCTTATTACGTTATCCATAACATTGTTTATTCTTCCTAAAGATATCTAATAAGGTGTATTTTGATCCATTCCAAACTATTCATCTCTTTTTTCCCTCTCTTAGTGTATGTTCCAGTTTAAATTTCATGCACATGAAATAGCCATAATTCAGAAAAATTCACTATCATGAGCCTTCTTTCATAATTCATGCAATTCCAAACTCAGTATGGCTAACATATTAATAAGCTGGATAGCCGGAAATATAAACTTCCAACAAAGAGTAGTATTTTTTTATTATTATAAATTATTATTATAAAAAACGAGGATAAGACCTAATTATGATTTGACTACGTTACGATAATACGAGACCCAGTTACATCCAGATGTAAAAGGATCGTTAGTTTACTAACTCTCCCAATCAAATAAGAAAAGATGTTACGCAAATGAGGTGAAAACTATATTTTACGGTCTTAAATTAATGTCATAATCTCTTTTCATACACAATTATCGGTAATTTAGTATTTCTTTTAAGTGTATTTTTTCGACCATGTGTAACGCACGGGTTACATCTAGTAGTATACATCTGAGAATTGTCAAATTACAAGTGACAACTTCATGTTTGGATACACACAGTATTTTTTTTATTCCACATTTCATAACATGATCTTATTCGCTATTGACATTGTGTACTAATGTGATTTTCTCTTTTATCCCATCATAATGGAATCAATTAACCAATAGATGCTCGATCGGGGCCTGTAAAGCTGATAAATTGGCCCATGTCTTATTGGGCCCGGATCACTTTCCAAAAGGAACAAGGAATTGGCGCCGGACGATGGAATAAAATTCCAATTGTGGTAAAGTCGGACATTCCATATGTAGTAAGTCGAGTCCCAGGCCTGCTGATAAAATCTTGTAGTAGGTGGTTTGGAGTAGAGAATTATATAGTTGCAGATAAAGTTAAACGAAAGAGAAGGGCCTAGAATGATGAAAGAGAACCCTGTCAAGTTAGCAACAAGGAGTAGCTTGCCTGCCCATCCAAATTAATGAATGCGTCATAATTAACATTTGCAAATTAAGAGGACGTTTAAGCAGAGGAGGCAAGCCATCCTTGGCTACTACACAAGGGCTCCCATCTTCATTTTAGGCATCTCTTTCCCAGAAAAAAATAAAATCATTGTTGAATATCCAAAGATATGCGTGCAAATTCGTTTTTTTTTTTTCGCAGTCGAATTACTCTCATTCGATGGCTGGCAGCGCATATGAAGAAGAAGCAATGATGAAGAAAAAATGCTATACTACTTGTTCATGTAAAACCTACACCATCAAATGGAGTTCTGTTGCATACTGATATAATATATATATATATATATATATATATATATATATAATCATGCATGATGAGTTTTTCTACAAAATAAAGCCATGGAAAATGTGGAAGATGCCTATAATTAGAAAAGCTTTTTGGAATGAAGTTTGGTGTTCACTTGTGATTTGCTGCTGAAAGAATATAATCTTGCATTATTTTTATGTACACCCATTCCGGCATCCTGGGGACCCTACTTTATCCGGTAAGTTCATGATCTTACCCTCTTCAAGATTGGTGTGGAATTTTTTTATTTTTTTTTTTCCAGAATTTCAACGTTAAAGTGTTCTAGAAATCCTCTTTACCATGTTAGTATTCTGCGTGTTGTTGACAACTAGCAAGGCAGGTCAAATCTTTATTCATTTTGCGCGCGCCCTTGGACTTCAAAGCCTATTTCAGGTTTCGACTTACTGAAAGGATGATGATACCGAATCAAGGGATCCGGTTTTTGCCCTGTTTTCGTACTCTGCTTTATCAGTTGGATTATATCCTAACTTCAACCTTCCTTTGATTCCAGATTATTTATGCCCATTGGCCACTAGATTGACAATTTTATCGTTCCATATTCGATTCCTACAAGGCAAAAAGGCAAGTTCAAATAATCAGAAATTCAGAATAGTAATTCTACATTAGTAAAAAAAGCCGAGTGTTGACAGAGTAATGGAAAATGTAGGGCGCTGCTCATGAGCATCTCTTGTTGTGCCACTATTCCTCCGATCCAATTTATAAGACGCGATTCCAAATAAGTTGCACATTTTTTAAAAAAATTTTGTCTTATAATTAGAACCGGAGGAAATGATTCTTGTATTGATATTGCGTGATTCTATTTGAAAACAGGATCAGCTAGCTATGAGCTGATGAATCGTTTATTTTCCAATAGAACAAAACTGGAATGGATTTCTCCAGGACTGCCTACTGCACAAACCTATTACGACAAAGTTCTACATTGTTATCTATCTATGTACATTACTTGGAACGAGTCCTGGATTTGTCCTTGAGCAGCTCCACAACTCTTCTCATGGAAGGCCTGCTCAAGGGAAGAGAAGACACGCATTGTAAAGCTACGTTCAGAACAACCTTAATCTCTTGCATCTCAGATGTAGAAGGTTTCATCCTCGGATCTATGATTTGATCCAGAAACTCGTCACAAATGCCGACACTTTCATTTGCACCCCCTTGTTCTGGAATAGATGATGCCACCTCTGTTACCCACTTCACTATGTCTTTGCTTTCTCCAAAATACGGGTCAACCGGCCTCTTCCCAGTTATTAGTTCCAATAGAACCACTCCAAAGCTGTACACATCACTCTTCTCTGTGATTTTCATTGTGTATCCATACTCTGCAGTGAATGAATAGATAAAAGTCAGGATTTGGTTCTAAATCATAGAAATCTAGACATGTTAGGACGAGTACTAGTTATAAGGAATAAAATTCACTTCCTTGTGGACTTCTACAACTTGTATTACTGATAGTTTCTTACTATCAGTAAACGTAGCTAGCTCTGAGCTAAACACAACTTTTTCAGTGACAGTATTGGCGCTCTTAAATTCAATCTAACAGAAAGCTATAATTATAGGCCCCTTTGCTTTCTGAGGACCTAAGCAAATCTTCTCTACACTACCAAGATCAATGCCGTGAAATTTAAAGTGAACAATTCATATTGGAAGGAATTAGTTTCACAATTCATATTGGAAGGAATTAGTAAAACTGATGATGACTGCAAAAGAAATCATGCAAAACATAAGCCTCACCTGGAGCTATGTAGCCGTAGGAGCCAGCAACCTTTGACATTTCACTACCTTCCTCCATGTCCTTCAGCAGACTTTTGGCCAAACCAAAATCTGCAACTTTGGGTCTAAATTCTTCATCCAACAAGATGTTATTGGACTTCACATCCCGGTGTATAATTGCAGGCACACAATCATGGTGCAAATAAGCCAGACCTTGGGCTGCCCCCATGGCAATCTTGAACCTCCTCGGCCAATCCAGCAACACACCGCCCTTCTCCCCATGCAGTACATCTCCCAAACTCCCATTCTCCACGAACTCATAAACCAATACTCTAAAGTCAGCTCCAGAACAGCTGAACAACAATTTCACAATGCAGTCATGCCGAATTCTCCCTAAGGTCTCAACCTCTGAATAGAACACCTCTTCAGATTCTGGCCCGCGATTAGCTTCCCATAGTCTCTTTACTGCAACAATCTGGCCATTCTTAAGTACAGCCCGATATACCTGACCTGAACCACCCGTTGCAATAAGATTATCCTTGTTCAAGAAGGCTAAAATGTCGTCCTGATTGAACCATAACCTTTGAAATGAAGTCATTTTCCAGGACCTCTTGCTCTTGCTTCTAAATAAATTCAACTTCCTGGACTTGATCACCAACCAGAGCAATGATATTACCAGAATTGCAGACAACCCTGATAAAATCCCCACCAGAATCATGCTTGTAGCCCTTCTCTTATTGCACGAAGGAAAAGGTTTAAGATCAGGACTACACAAACCTGGGTTACCCAACAAGCTAGAAACAAACCATCCTTTATCAAAAGAAGGTGGTACTCTACCCTCGAGCCTATTATTCGACACATTGAATTTATTCAACTTGAGCTTTGACAAGTTATCAGGAATAACACCCGTAAGTAAATTATCAGAAAGATCTAAATAAGTCAACACGGGTAACCCCCCTAGCTCAGAAGGAATTGTACCTGAAATCTGATTCCCTGATAAATCCAAGTCTGTTAGATCAGGCCAAGCAGCTGTAAGATCAGTAGGAATTTGGCCAGTAATATGATTCCCTTGAACATCAAGCTTGAGTAATTTGCTCAGTTTGGTCATGCAAGAAGGCAAGTCTCCAGAGAACTGATTTCTGCTGAGATCAACTACTGCTAGTTTTTCCAAGACACAAATTTCACCAGGTACAGGGCCATTAAAGTTGTTATCAGCCACCAAAAACTCCGTCAGTTCGCGGGCATTTGAAACAGTGGGAGGAATTACACCCTCAAAATTATTCTTGCTGATTTCTAACATGTCGAGACCAGAAAAACCCCAGAAATTGGGCGGTATAACCCCGGACAACTTATTGTTGGAAATACGAACACGAGTTAGGGAACTGCATTCCCCGTAGGAATCAGGGATTGAACCTGAGAAGTTGTTATTGAACAAAATCAAGATCTCAAGCTGCTTCTTCAGACAAAGATTTGGAGGCAATGGACCATCTAGGAAGTTCCCTGAAACATCAAACTCATTCAAACCCGAATTCATTCCCAAATTCTCCGGCAAATGACCCGATAACCTGTTATTAAAGAGTCTAAGCAGGGAAAGTTTTTCATTGAGGGCTAAATTTTGTGGAATTGCGCCTTCCAAATTGTTGTCATTAAGGTTCAAAGTTTCCAAAGCTAAACCAGTGAGACTCTCAGGAATTTTTCCGTTGAGATTGTTCTGCGAAGCGTCAAAGTTAACTAACGAAGTGAGATTGGCAAACACATCTGGGATTTCGCCGGAAAGATTGTTACCGTAAAGCTCGATTTGTACCACCGACGACAGTGAACCGAGACTTTCGGGAATCTTTCCGGTGAGGGAATTGTAGGAAAGGTCGAGGTTCGTGAGAGATGTGAGGTTCCCAATTGATTCCGGAATCACTCCGGTGATATTTGAACCTGGAAACCAGAGGTTCTCAAGTTTGGTGAGGCGGCCGATGTCGGCCGGAAGTGGGCTCGGGGAAAAAAGGTTACTGGCGATTTCTAAACGAGTCAACTCAGTAAGGTTGGAGATGAAACCCGGGATCGACCCGTTAAGAAAATTGGAGAGAAGACGGAGTACCTGAAGCTTAGGTAACTGGAACCCATAACTCCGGTGAATCTCGCCGGTGAAATTGTTCAATGAAAGGTCGAACGTGGTGAGGTCGGCGAAGGCCGTTCGGAGCTCCGGCAAGTTGCCGACAAACAAGTTAGACGACAAATTAAGGAAGTTCAATTGAGAGCAGAGGGAAAGCGCCTCCGAAGAAACCGTCCCACCGAGGTAGTTGTCGGAAAGGTCCAGTGTCCGGAGAGTTTGAATTCGGCAGAAATCCGACGGGAAGTTGCCTAAGATACCAAAGCTCGGAACTTGAATGGAAACGACGGCGTTGGTCTTGTTGTCGCAGAGGATGGCGGTCCAACTGCAGGGGGAATTTGGAGCAGACAATTTCCAGTCGGAAAGCCGGCCATCAGGATCTTGCAGTTGAGAGCTCTTCACTTGAAGCAGAACGACGGCGTCCCTTCTTAATGCGGTGGTAAATGGTGTTGTGATCACCGTAATGCATAAAAGAAATTCAATCAGAAACAGGATCCCAGAACTGCGTTTTTCATAAAGACAGCAAAAGTTCATCTTGTGTTCGAATCCAAACACCATTTCCCTTGTTGTTTATCCGAGGAAAAAACAGTTTTAATGTGGTTAATAATAATCACATAAAGTTACGATTTTTTTTTTTAGGCCATTTGAATTATTTGATAGAGAAGAAGGCAAAAAACGAAAAGGAGGCAAATAGTGATTCGAGTGTGACAGAAAGAGCAGGAAACAAAAGAGTTGATATACAAAAAAAAAGAGATTTTGAAATGGGAGAGAATGACTATACGAGTGATGAATACTCCACCGTTTGTAAATTCTGGAATTGATATTTGTAATTAATGAATAATGGAATAGTTTGCTAATTTAGGTGTGTCCACATGTGAGGGGCTAGTTTATACTTGGATTGTAGTGTGCAATAATTTTATTTTTTTAAAAAAAAAAAGAAAATTTGTGTGAGGTTAATGATGATGTATGCAAAATGCATAATGATTGTGATGTTCTTATTGTATACTATATACTGGAAATAGAACAATTTTAAAATTTGCAGAAAACAAAGTGTGATTACTGATTAGTTAAGTGATTTTGCCATCTGATTTGTTTCCCTTTCTTTTTCTTGTTAATACTACTTTTGATATGCTTTTAAGATTCAATTGCTAAAGTGATTAGTCATTTTTCCTTGTTCACACTGTTTTTTTTTTTTTCTCTTCTGACAAACTGACAACCCTTTTCTATTCATGCACAATATGATACACAAAATACTCAAAAAAAAAAAAAAGAAAAAAGAAACAAGTTTCAATGGAAAAAAAAATGGAGTCACTTTGATAAGGTTAATAATTACTGTACTTCTTACTACGGCCTACCGGGATCTGTTGAGGCCTTGAGGGTTATTAGTTATGCCGATTGCTGCAGAGAAGCTCAGCTCATCAGACTCTAAATTGGAGGAGTTTGGAGCTTTCTGATGATGCAGTTTTCGCCCATGTAAGAAACATGACAAAAGCAGTCAAAAAGGTTGACTGTTGACTATAAACAAACCATAATTTTGAGATGACCTGGCCAGGGCCCCCCCAATTGGCTTCTAGAAAAGAAAAAAAAAAACATTGTGCATCAATTCCCCCTTTAAGCTTTTTTAAACTTTAGCTTTAAACTTGTTTTATTGACTTCTTGGTCGTAAGGTTAAGTATGGTCTATTAGTACTCCCGTGATTTGAATCTTTAGGGGGTTGGAGATTGAAAGAAAGAAGCAATCCTAGATGATTTGAAGGCCATGAATAAATCTATACATCATGAGCAATTAAGTTAATTGTCAAGTTCGAGATGTTACTCAAAATTATCTAGTAATTTAAATAATCAGTAAAAGTATAAAGACGGCCTAGTTGGTTACACTAGATAATTTCATTAAAGAGTGATTCGATTAAGTATCATGTTCAAATGTGAAATGTGCATGGAATTTCTCCAAAAGATTTAGATTACGAAGCGAATTTGTTTCTTTTTTTTTTTTTTTCATTCAGTTGCGACCTTCTTTATGGGCTGTGGAGTATTGCGGTTAAATTGACGGGAATCATGGGATCAAAGAATACATTTTATGTTAGAACTCCATCCCTTCAGTTTGAAGCTAGAGAACAAGTACGCAAGTAGCTAGAACTACTACAACTCCTCCTACTCACTAGCTAGAATAAGGTTGTATGTATACATCCATCTACCAAACTTTGTTTAATTTTCTCCTAAGCAATCCATAGAAAAATTCCACCGAGCCGTCTCATCAACTAAACATGAACATGAGTACTAATCAGCAGGAGCGATAACAGTTAAATTACGAACAGTTCGAAGTTCAGAAAACGTCTTTAGCATCGATAGATGGTTCATTATAGGTATTGAAATGTTATGCGATAAGAGGTTGTTAGTGGACTCACAGTATGTTCGAAGCAAATTCCGCTGAGCTATCTCATTCACAGTGTGTTCAAAGTAACTTTATTGATATCTTCTCCTATTGAGTGATATTTTCGGTTGTTAGATTATTGTCTCCTTCATTATACAAAAAAATTCCAACCAACCTCGTGGTATAATGGATCCAACTGATGACTCACCTACACAAAACATGGATCGAACGTAATTATATGTTTGAAACATGTCTTAACTATCTCACGATTTATTTCACATCACTAATACTACTACATCTTACGTAGATGCAGAGTTATTCTCTATATACAATATATATCTTGCGGAATTAACGACTTTCCGTTAGTACGTTGTTCCCTGAACTTCCGATCATCTCATACACCGGTTGTAAAACATGTGAAAACTTGGTTGTTTCGCACAAAGGGGTATAAGAATATCACGGGGAGAATTATCCATGATAACAACGTTGGTGTGGAATCTTGGACTCAATAATGTGACCAGATAATTAGTTGAGGTGACTGTGTTTTGTGATCTTGTTGGAGGAAGTTTCTCAGATTCATAGTGGATTTATTGGATTATTAGTGTGCAGTGGGGGCCTTCACTTTTTAATATATAGTAGTTTAGTTATAGTCGTGGACCTCATTGTTACTCACACAGTTAGTTTTTGACTGGTGAAAGAAAGCCCCAACTTGCTTTCTGTAAAGTTTGTCATTAGAAAACAAAAGGCTACTTAGGATAAGTCTATCATCCAATCCAGTGATCCAAAAAAAATTCAAAGACTAAAGTGGTATTCACAAAACTTTTCTATCCGTAAAAAGTAAAAACTCGTATTCGTATTTCTATCCCTAGCATTTCGAAAAAAGAAAAATCCACATTATAATATGTGAATTCTATTACTTTCATATATCTAAAAAAAATTTAAAAAATCCATGAAATAATGAAACACTCAAAACACATTGATTTTTTTGAAATTTAAATTAATATTTCGTTTTCATTTTTTTTAATTTTTGGAATAAAGTATACATGAAATCCGAAAAATGCCCCTCTTAGCTTTCGCCAAAATAGGTCAAATTGATCAATTTAAACAGAAGTAGAGGATTTTGTTAGTTTTGGACCAAATAAGTTAAAATTATTTTGTTACGAACCAATATTATAGTTATTTTATTACAGATTGGAATATATATTTGTTTATCTGTACTCTGTGATGGATTAATTTTGAGGTTTGGTTTTCAATTTTGGATATAAGTTACTCCACCTTATAATGTTGATCGTGTCGGGCAAAAAGGAAAAGAGTTACTATGCGACAAGTTGAATTTCAGATTATGTAATAAACATTTGTAACTTACTCATTTAAATAATTTGGGAAAATAGAGGAAAAGGTCCGAATTTTCATAGTAGTCGTAAAAATAAACATAGATGAGCAAACGATGATGAAAATATGATCACAAAGAAGGGACTCGTTCGTTAGATGATCAATGGTCTTTCTTTCTTTTTCATGGGGGAAAAAAATAATTCAATGAACTTGTCCCGTGCGCTTGGATTAGGCTTATCTTACGGTTGTTGTTGTTGATATTATCTATCTATAGTACTTTAGTACTTAAAGTAGCAAACACTAAGGATACGTGTCAGCATTATAATGAAAATTTTCCCTTTAAAGGTTTTCAGCACTTCTCAATACAAATCCGAGTGAAGCAGAGTGTGACACGTGACTTCATATATTTGCAGAAAATTTTAGTACCGGGTCCAGTTACAACACAACAAATTGAACTGAAAGTTTTTAATTTGAAAATCCCCCATTTTAGGGCAGTAACTTATCTTGAAAATTCAAATTCACCATTTTAATTTCACGATCAAATCCCTAAAATCACTTTATTTTCTCACTGTATTATTCTCAAAATTTAAAGCTATCAAATCCCTAAAATCACTCAGTTCTCTCCTCACCGTTCTAAAAAATATTCCTTTTCCAGTCTATTCGACTACATAAACCCACCTCAGCAACAATGATGAAGATTCTATTGAAGTGTAGCACCACAAAAAACCATAAAAGGACTCCATTGTTCCTCAGAAACTGTGAAATCATTGGGTTTGCATTCAGATCTATACTTTTGGCATATCCAACCCCCGCTTTGGAGTAGATTCGATCCTTTTGCCGGAATTTTCTCATGCCAAATAAGAAATTTTTGAAAGAAGCAGCAGACAGACAACGACAATAGGAAAGGTTTTTTTTTTGTTGCAAAATGTTAGCCACCACCTAAACTTCTTTTTTTTTTTCCCTCCGTCGCTTTTTTCTTTGAAACATAGTTTCTTTTTCAATAATAGGATTATAATCGTGAAATTGATGTTTACTCGGTTTTTTGTTTTTGTGAAACAGCCTTCTGAGAAAAAAATTGAGTAATCAATGAGGGAGATGAAGGTATTGAAGTTGATTTTGAACATCGCCGTCGTAGAGAGCGGAGATTGGGTCATTAGATCTGTTTATAATTCAGTAATTTTTTTTTCCTTTTGGAGCATTTTGGTCTACCTTCATTTATTCAATGAAATCTTAGGAAAAATTTAATCTTTTACTTTTTTTTATTTGTTATTATTATTTATTGTATTTCCTCTAAAGTGTCAAAAGGATGCTGTGGTAATGGAATTGAATAATGGTTGCAAGTGGCGGGAGCTTGGGGATATGTAGGATAGAGGGGTTGAACAAGGAGGATATGAAAGCGTTGCAATTCGATTATAATTTCGTTAAGATTCATATGGAAGCCGATTTGACTGGCACTTTGTAGTAGATTATTTTTTGGCCTGAATAAAAAAGCCCGATGACTCAAATAAGTTCTCAGGCAATTCCTGTAAAATTTCAGATTTTGTATTTTGATAATTGAAAGTCTCTTTTTTATTAAGTGCTGATTTTTTAAATTTCATGGGGATTGTGATTCTGCGCTCTCCTTGGAAGAAGGGAAGGAGGGTGCTCAAAGGCTTCAAAGATGAAGGTCAAATATGCACTATGAAAAGCAACAACAACAAGTATTCTTGGCTACGGGAAGTTTTCAAGGTCTGATGTAAAGGTTTGTATCAAATTATTGGATTCTGGGTCTTTTCTTTTCTATATTTATTTTAGATTTTTTAGATTACTTGATTATATTGAATGAAAAACAGATAAAGAACATAGTATCGTCCGGATTTATATCGTTGGTGTTTTTTCTGGTATGGACTGAATTTTTTCCTTTTCTTTTAATGGTATTGTCCTTTTAGATTTTGGGTTTTGATTCTTCCATATTTGTTTGTTCTTATGAGGGAATAAGGAAGGAAAAGATTCTCTATTGCACGGACTCATTCATCTGAATTTATGCATTAGTTTTTAATTTTGATCTCATTTTGATCACAGACAATAAGGTCTGCATATGTTTTTGCTATGCCATATGCATCAATAAAAAATCTTTACCTTTCTGATTTTTTACCTTTGTATTAACCCTATTAGAATAGAAGTGATAGCTCAAAGAGGGAAGAAGTCATCCATTGATGAACTTGAGTGCCTGAAATGGTTAAACTCCAAGAAACCCAATTCGGTTGTGTATGTATGTTTTGAAAGTATGTCCGATTTCACCGCGGCTCAATTGCATGAAAT